GTGAAGTTATGGTTCCACGCGCTGTAATCAAATGCACATTACTAGAATATCCTTCCCACGTCGCGTGTTTGTAACCTTCTCCATTTTATCCTAAGTTTCTGCAACGCAACTCGCATACGGAAGATATATACACGTATTTCTTGAGTACCGCTTCTGTATGTCTGTCTACGATATGACGTGAACTGGCGTTGTATACCAATAGGCAATAACGTGTCTACAGTACATAAATCTCAGCATGCAAGTCAGCTATTATGATCATGTATGTGAATTTGGTAAAGTTTTAAAAAATAGGATACGTATACACTACTAAAAATATTTAAAGAAACATTTATCAAATAATTCATTATTTGAAAACGTTTCATTACAAGAAATATTGTAAACGTTTTTTTTATTTGTAAATGGTACCAAAGATAATTCAATAAATTGATTACATAATACCGATATAATCAAGATGCTGAATATTTTCCTTCAAACATCGGTTTCACATGTCTATCTACAATACGACGTGTTTCATCGAATTGGCGTCATATACCAATACATGATAACGTGTCTACAGTACATAAATTGTTGCACGCGAAGTAACCATTATCATCGTGAACTTAGATCAGACATGAAGCGTCGAAAGAAACGTGATAAAATATTTTCAGGAAAGAATAGAAAACGTTACATGCTATAAAATTATTGAATGTCTAGAATACGAAACGTGTGATCTCGCTGTATATATACACATGTATGTATATACATACATATATTAATTTAAACAGATTTGAGATTTTCAAAACATTTCTTATTTTTGTAATATTGATTTTGTGTGGGAAAAATCGACAAATTTTGATTATTTACGTCGTTTGTTGAGATTTTTAAAAGAAAATGCATCGAAAATTATGCTAGAAAACTTTTTCAAAATCTTCAGGCTTTTTTATTTTTATCTATTAGGTGTTGGAATTAATTCGTAGCGTTTTACAAGTGATGGGAAGTACTTTCATTAATGTATTTTTTAATGCTCATGTGAAATAAATAACATTCTTTCATTAAAAACGCTACGAATTAATTCCAACACCTAATACATTTATGTATCGCTCTATGTCTTTGGAATTTAAAAATTTAATTAAAGCAAGATTTAATGTATACTGCTGGATACGTAATCGTGTCGTTATCGAGAAGTATGTACATACATGCCACATTTGGGACCAACATTATAAACACACTTATTGAATTATAAGGGTTGTATAAAAATAAAACTGAACATTATTGAAGGGCGAATTTGAAGAGACAGCGCTATGCGATCGTATGGATAGTTAAACTGTAAATTATTTCACGCAGGAAAAAATTTGGTCAATTTGATGATTTCGCGATTAATTTCGCAATCTCCCTTGGAAATTACTCTGATGACGTGCTTCGTAACTTAGACTCATGGAGCATCTTTTCTTCATGCTGCTACTTAACAATGTGCAAGTATAATGAGAACTGTTATTAAGCTGTGGCTTGTAATATTTTCTACATATTTAATAAGCAATTTTATTATGCAGCGTACTGTAAAAGCATTTATAAGACGGCTTATCGACAATAACGTATCTTATCTATATTAAATTAATAATTATATTTATATATGTAATATACATCGGGATAATCTACATAGGGACTACTTGATTAAAGATAAGATTAATTTCTAGCTCTCCCTCCTTTTCTTCCTCTCTCTTTCTCTAAAGTTTTTAGAAATAAGATCACGTATTTCTTGCATATCTTCTTCGTTTAAATACTGCCTATCAGCTAACAACACAACGGCGTGCTCGAACAACAAATAACAGGTTAGCCATCGCGATATGAAATATGATTACTCCGGTTCGGCGTACGGATCGCATTGGTCAGCCGCATTGGAGTTTTCAACATGTCGGTTTGTCAGGGCGTGCCGGTGTCCATGGATGGATCGGTAACACGTTCAGAATTTTCAACCGTGTCGCGCATCCAGCGACAGATAGAAACAGAGAGAGAGAGAGAGAGAAAGAGAGAGAGAGAAAGAGAGAGAGCGAGAGAGAAAGAGAGAGA